CCGCCCGGCCCCGCCCGCCCCAAGGAACCGTAGAAGCTCTGGGGTTCGCCAAAACAATCGTTTATTGCGTTTCAGAAACAGGGTCCGGCTTTCCACAGGAAAGAACGACGTTGCGAACAAGCGCGATACAAACAGCAGGGTGGGTTAACACGACAGCCAGAGAGATGAGGAAAGGTTTATTACAACTTAATTCCACATAATTTAAAAAAAAAAAAATCCCTTAAAACTGTTAGCTGTAGTACAAATTATTTTGTAGTATAAAATCAAGTCGCCAGTGTCTGTCTCAGTACCACGCTGAAGAGCCCTGGGCTCCCACTGCTGCCGGCGCTCCCGGCAGCCCCCTCGGAAGTCGGGACCCCGTGAGATCCATCCACTTCCCGGGAACAGCCCGAGCAGCACCAATGTTCTGACAGAGCAAGGTTTAGCACTCAGAAACAAAGCATGGTGAGGCTCTTCTAGTTTAATTTTCACAGAAATAGCTACAGCTGTAAACTGGAGAAAGCACTCCTACATGTAAGCATGCCTCATAACATCCTTTGGATACAGAATTCCTGAACTGCTCAGCTCCCTGTGGATGGCTTCAGCTATTATTAAAAAACCACTTAAGTATTTCAGAAATTATTCACAAAAATCGGTCTCTTCACAGAGAGTCTCTTCTGTGAATTAAGACATACACCCTGTGTTTCTATTCAGTAACAAACTGAGGAATCTTGCACAGCTCAGGAGACCCACACAGCTTCACCTGGGTTTTCTGATCTCCCAAAACCAGACAACATCTACCCATCGGATTGTGTGAAGTCTGTATTTGTTACCTGCCCACAGGAAAGAAAAAGTGGGAGGAACAGAGTGGATTGTAGACTGAAGCACTGGACTACTTACACTAAAACACATCAAGAATTGCAGGGCAGTGTGAGGAGGAAGATCACAAACTGAGAATGCCCACTGAATGGAAAAGCTCCTTGGATCTGTGTACACCTGAAGCTCATTCTCATGAAAAGCAGAAGCAGGAGGAAACCATTTGTCAGCCAGCAGGACTTTTGCTCCTGGCAGAAGGCAACAGAAATACAAGGCATCTCCATGACTATTAACAAGGTACTCCAAAGTCAGGAAGAAGTTTTTGACCGTGTTCAAAGTTCACTTTCTGCTCATTATCATCACTACCACATTATTTTCCTCAGTCCTGTTGTGCAAGCCATTCATTAAGTAATCTAGACAGGGATAAAGTGATCTAGCATAATGTGATCAATTCAAATAAACTGATTAAGTAGTTGAATTTTATCTCACCATACTCTTTTCCAGTTAACACCAGGAGGGCTGCTCTGTGAGCCTACAGAAATGTGGCGGGGTGTGCAATAATACCTGCTCACAGGATTTCTTCTCCATAAAATTATTGTAATCCAGTTAGGAAAAACCACAAAAGATGCAGAACTAAAATATTTCAGCATGTAAAAAAGTAAAAACTTTTTAAACCAGTAGTAGCTTCAGTACAAAACTGCAAATACATGCAGCAAAAAAAAAAAAAAAAAAAGAGGTGCCTGTAGTTGAAAGTAGAAGTCTATTTAAGAGCAGTTCAAACATATCACAAGTACATCTCTGAATGAAACAAAGGTTATGGGTTTGCACCAGCGTAACTAGACAGTTGATTTAGGCCTGATCAGCATTAAAAAAAAAAAAACAAAAACCCACAACATGTGCACTGGCTTAAATAAATACATTTTAAACATTAAAACTCTATTTACTCGGTTACTGAAATTTACCTACAGAAAATAATCTTGAATTACAAGGCACAGAGTTAATTGCTGCCTGCAAGTCAAGCCCACACTAAAGGCCTACTACTAACGTAAAGGCAGGACATGGTGAGTAGAGGTCACCTCACTGAAATACTCCAGTGCCCTCACAGCCTGCAGGGCACTGCGGTGGGAGCCACATCTGGAACAGCACTTCTGCAAGTGCAGAAGATGCAAAGACACTCCAAGCAATGGCACTTCGTGGAGAAAAATGTGTAGAGTCTCCAGGCTTCTGCAAACATCATGCACAGTGGGTGTTTTGGTGCTGCCTGTGATCAGGCAATGTTTGGAACTCATCGTTGGTACACCAGTATTTGGATTAACTGCAGTTTATAATCTGTGAGTTGCAGTTCGCTAAAGTGGTAGCAGTATGAGCACACCTCAGATACACAAAAACTGCAGTTAGCGTCGGCATCAGTCACATAAGCTTAAAAAAGGCACATCCTCTTCAAAGAGGGGAATCAGGGCACAAACACAAATGTTTCTGTCCACCCGGTATTTTGCCCACATCAGATAAAGCAAGGTCAAATTAACAAAAGATCCCTAATAACCTTGTTGATGTATTTTCTGTTACCTTGCTAAAATGAGGTGTTTTTTTCTGCCCAGGATACACACCAGTACAGTTTTGCATGTGTGGGAATCACAAGAAAGCAAGTACTGAATTACAAATTGAGGCTGCATCCGGACAAAGACAGCACTGTCAACTTCAGACAACAAAGCCCAGTCCAGCACCATTGGTTTCACACAAAGTTTCTTTGAAGCATACTGCTTTCATACCACCAAGCTGTAAGGTTAAGTCTAAGGAAGGTTTCGTGCATTCATTCCTCAGCTGGTCCCAGAATCACACATAAAGAACAGTTCACATCCTGAAAATAAAAGCCAGCTGCCACTCACTAGAGCTGCTAAAGAAAGTTAACAAGTACATAAACAGAACTGTAGTTAAAAGAGTTTATAATAACCGATCACCTAGTAGAGAGGAGAAAACTGCTCAGGTAAACCTATCCAGTGACTGGCTAACCATCACAAATTTAACTAAAATCATCACTGAGTTGCCAGGAAGAAATGAAGGCTCCTGGTTCCTATAAATAGAACCTCCAAATTTTCTGCCAGTGTTCTCCCAGAAAAAAAAACAACAAAGGAATTTTCATAAGAATCTCAGGTGGTGGCCCCAAGAACATCAAGAAGTGAAGCAATGAATTCCTCAAGAGCAAACAGGCTGCTATAAAGTCTCTGGGATTCAAAGGGATCACATTGAAAATCTCATTTTGAGAAGTGTCATCCCAACTACCTCAGTCAGTCCAAGAAGGTAATTGTTAACTTTATTCTCAGGGTGCAAAGTCTCTTTGCAGAGTGAAACAAAAATTCAGTTTAGAAGATTATGGAAGACTTGCATCTAAACTACTCTTCCACCTCTCCACTTCAAAAGTATGAAAATCACTTGAGCGATTCATCATTATCCTCAGTTCCTCACATTAGGAGAAAACAGCTCCTGCCGCTATTAATAAAATCACTGCAGGTGTTCCCTGGGTCCTGCTCACCGCATTAAACATGCCTCATGCTCGCTCTTCACAGAAACGATGGCAGTTCACTGTGAGGTGAATCTCAGTAATATTTCAGGCGTTTTTGAACGTAAACAAATTGGTTTCAATCTTTAAACTGACAAATTAAAACAACTGGACAACCAGACTTCTGTTTGTAAAACAAATTCAAACAGTAAACAAGGGATAGAAAAAGCAGCAGCTACACTTAAAGCAGAATTATCAGAATTTGTGCTTTTCAGCAAATCTAGTAACTGATGGCTATCAAGTAAAGAAGTCTGGCTTCAAAGAAGTTCCTTATTTTCCTCCACACTAAACAAGGACAGAAGCCAAGTGATCCCAAGACTGGAACTTTAAAAATAAAGTACATATTTGACCTCTCAGTTGAAAAAAAAAAAAAAAAAAACAAAAAACTGTTCTGTTTCAGTTTCCCTGAAGCAATAAGACTGCAAGAATATTCATTGCATAAACCATTTCTGCTTAGAGCTGTTAGTGCAAGATGAAAAAAATCTTCAATTTAACTCATTAAAGAGCCCTCCAAGATTCTAGTCAATATTCAACTTTGAACATCCATCACCCGAGGTAACTACAATAAAATACATTTTCTTGTGTTCTTCTTTGTCACAGGATACAGAACTGCACGCACAGCTTCAGCAAACACCTCCCGAACACCTTCCTGATTCAACGCTGAGCACTCCAAATATTTGACTGCTCCAATTTGTTTAGCCAGCGAAGTCCCCTGCTGTGGGGTAGTAGGAGCCAAGCTTTGCTCTTTCAACTTTTTAACTGTTTCCAGGTCATTTCTCAAGTCTCTCTTCGTGCCCACTAAAAGAACGGGAACATTTGGACAGTGGTGAGAAACTTCAGGATGCCATTTGTGCCTGACATTGGCATAGGAAGAGGGGCAACCAATGGAGAAACAGATGATGAACACATTGGTTTGAGGGTACGAGAGCGTGCGCAGGCGGTCGTATTCTTCCTGGCCTGCAGTGTCCCATAGATTGAGGCTAACTGTCCGGCCATCAACAGTCATCTGGGCACTGTAGTTGTCAAACACGGTAGGAATGTACTCCTCTGGGAAGGCATTGGTGGTATAGCTGATGAGAAGGCAAGTTTTTCCCACAGCGCCATCTCCAACAACTACGCACTTTATAGTCTGCATTCTTTATCCAGAAACGAAGTCCTGCACAAAGCAAGGAAAAAAGTTAGGAAAAGCACAGTCAATGACAGTAATTTTAGAAGATTAGCTTTAACAAGTGTTTTTAACATTGCTAACAATTTCTTATCACAGGTAGACACACCCATTGTCTCAGAAGCCATCAGAAAGAGTTCACAGGCTAGAAAGACAATAGTGAAATAGAGATACGATGAGCTGAGAGCTCAGTGACAACTGGCTGCATTCCAACCATGTAAGTATAAATTAGCCAAATTCCCAGAGACTTGCCTTACTGCCAGTTTCCCACAGGCAAAGGGACAAGTCCTTAAAGATACCTTCAAGTGGAAAGAGATTGTGACCTCAGACCTAGTAATAATCTGTCATTTGTAGGTTCACACATACACCCCCCCTCCAAGATTCACACTTCTTGTCTACGTACTCTACTGCCTAAACAGTTTACCACAAAGAAAGGTCCAAAAATTATATAATAAACCAAGATACCCATTGCTGGGCTGCACTGCTACTGTTTACTATAAATAATTCACTCAACTCAAGATCAATCAGACCTCAAGAGACTGCGTTATTTAGAGGACACCAGATAAAAGGTTCAGAAAGTAGCATGTACTAGAAAAGCTGTTCTTTGAAATATAACTAGCCATAGCACCCAGATTAGAATACACAAAGAATTTTTCTAAAGAAGCCAAGAACAGATTATTCTCACTAATCAGTGACAGAACAAGCAGAACTTAATAGGCTTGAAAGCTTACACTAAGCATTAGGAAAATACATGCTGTAAAAGATCAGCAACCAAACAGCCTTCCTGTGCAGACTGGGTGATTGTTACAGAAGATATCTGACACTTAAAGGCTTCCCTATCCTTTTCTTGATATGTGAAGAGTAGGTTTGATAATCAAATTGATATGGCGTAAAACTCAATTCATTCTAAACTTTCATCACATGAAAAGCAGGAACTTTGAAAACAGCATGAAACAACTACAGGCAGTCATTTGTTGCACATTTGTTGTATGCTGGAGCTTCCACTGCTAGTCTGAACAAGAAGGAACTTGCATCTGCCTTCTTACCCAAATGCCTTTGAGGTACTATCAGTAATCCTCAACTTGCAACCCGCAGCAAATATGCTGCTTCAAACAGAAGAAACAAACAGTAGGAGGAACTACATCGCATATTCCAGAAAGATCACAGTACCAACACCATCAAAATAGCAAAAGAAACATGTGAAAATAAGCAACAGTGAAGTACTTCATTTAAAGTCATGAAACTCCCCCTCTCCAACTTCCTCTGAACAAATCACCAACTTGTTACCACTTAAGTCTCAGCTTTGTCCTTTTTAACAAAGTCTTTATCTGGATCCACATGCTGTTGTCTTCCCACTGGGAGTACGCACAATTCTTCTGCAGTAAGTGAAAACACACCGCTTTGAGCACAAATCTGCACCAGGCACCTGGAGTGGTACCAACTGTGGTCACGACAACATACAGTACTTATGGAAGTATCAATGTATATGCACAGGCACTACTGAAAACCAAGCAGTGGTGGGAAGCAGAAACCTTGCTCCAGAAAGTCCCAGCAGGACATTGGAGGGGAAGAATTTAGAGGAAAACAAACCGGAGGAAGATGCAGAAGTAGTTCTACCTTTTTTGAAAATGGCAGGAATTACATTTCTAAAACATGAATCACCTGAAATGAAATCTGGCAAGTACTTTAGAGCCTTGGCAGAAAAGCATGCATGTGAGTTTCATCATACATCAAAAAAATCAGTGATCCCATTTCAAGGCTCCAGTCAGAGAGATATGTATGCAAATACACATTGTAAAGGTGATCAGTAAAACAAAGAACAGCACTGATCAGCAAAAGCTGACAGCAGGGCTGCATATATTATTCCAGAACAGTTGCACCAAGAGTTTCATTTAACAGGGCTGAGGGGGGAAAAAAAAAAAAATTAAATAGGTAAGTTCTGTCAAATTAGAGGCTTAGAAACATTTCTTGCATTTTGCAAACCGGAAGTCAAAACCCCTTTTAATATAAAACCATTTAAAACATTACAAATGAAACGGTTTTAGCCTTATATTATTAATAGAGGTTGAACACTGTTACTGGCAGCATACAACATAGCATTTCCAAATACAAAGGGTCTGAGTGCTACAGCAAACAGCGACAGAAGAGCGGATGTATTTTAATACTCTAACACTGTTCTACCTGAAGATACAATTGTAACTCAGCATCCTGGTCTGTGCTGCTGCTATCCCTCCTGCTTTGAGACACTGCCATGCTCTCTCCAGCAGGAAGGCTGCCTTCAGACATTTCCAAACCCTGTATCCCCTTTCCCACCCAGGTAGCATGCCACCTCCTCAGGGTAAGGAGCTGTTTCACCCAGTTCATTGAGTAGTATCACATTCAACTGCGTTGGTACAACCAGGCCAGTGGTGGCATATGGTAGAAATGAATCACGGCAGAGGAACAGCACACGCTGCTACTGCTGCAGAAGTATCACTAGACAGCAGCACACAGAGTAGGTTTCAAAGCCTATTCCTGTGTTTTCTTCAAACCACTGAAGTACTAGAAGATGCTGTGCCAGAAACCTTAATGGTGACCAACAGTTCCAGAACAAAAGTTTTCTTCCAAATGAACTACCTATGCTACAGACTGCTGTTTTGATCAGTCAACAACAAAAGTGACATCACAGAGATGGCAGAACTAAGTCAGCTGGAGACGTGCAATAAAAACTCATATAGCAACACAAGTCTCATGAAGAACAAGAAACACAAAGCCTTTTATACGCCCAGTTCCTATTTTCTAAAATAAACAAATTGCAAGGACTTGGAAACAGATCTCTCTTTAAAACACAAACCACAAGCTCCCCCAAAGGCTTACACCTCTATGCACTTCCATACAAAGCTTTTCACAGAAAAACAGGTTATCCCAGAATTTTACCCCTACATGCACACACCAGGCACTGATATTGGGAGGGTCGTCACAGCAATATTGTAAGAAAATACAGACAGTTTCATATATTAGTCAGCTACAAAGCCACATGTATCCCATACCATCAGCAGCTAGAATAGCTTGATTCAACCTTATTCAAAATTTCTAATGAAAGTCTGTTACCTAAAGATTATTTTGTTGGTGCTTTATTTAAGAGGTCATTAGAGCATTCAACTTGGAGAACAGTAATAAGGTAACAAAAAAGCCTGGAACATGAATGCTTTTTCACAGAATTAATATCTTGAATTACCTAAGGCTTGGATTTTAGAAGACTAACATTTGCAATAGGAAATAATTCTATGTATACATGCCAAAGCATCAGGCTACCTAAGTATGAACTACACAAATACAATTAAAGATCTTGTAGGCTTTTAAGCATGCTTCTCTGCAAGGCCTGGCACATGCAATACAGAAAAACAAACGCACAGCAGGATATACATGATTCAGTACTGAAACACAAAATTTAGAGAAATTAATTAAAAAAAAAAGACTAGAAAGAAGCTCCCATACTCCAGAAACCTGTATGTTGTGAGCAGGTGTAGTTTGGTTAAAGATTTACATATGGAAAACAAACCTTTTTTTTAATTTAAACTATAATCAAGCAAACAGTATTACCTCTATCAGGCCTTTTCTGTTAAATCCACATATCGCTTTGTTCAAAATGTATAAAGTCTCTATTTATATTTTTCTTGTAAACAATTTGCCTCGCAATAAAACTCTCATAAGATAGCAAGAAGCTGGGGTTCAAATTTGCATGGAAAATTCTTTTTATTTCTCAAGCACTCTTGAACTTGGCAGTGCATGCTATTTGAATATAAATATATGCTGAAAAAAAACCACACTCAGAAAACAAAATTACCAACAAACAATGAGAGGAGGAAAACTGGGTTAGAGTTTCTTTGGGATTTTTTTGGTGAGCTTCAGAAGAATTTTTGAGGAAAACTTTAGAGGTGAAAACTTTAGAGGTAAAAACTTCACGTACAACAGGTAACAAGAACTGAAAAAGAGAAAAATACAGATTAATATGTTAACACATCAAAACAAAGACTTCGAATTTAGAAACAGAAAGCTGGGCACGAGCTTCAAAGTCAAGTTTAAAGGTTACTCGGCACAAGAAAGGAGTGGCTGGAAAGTCCAAAGTAGTGAGAGGTAATTCGGGTTGCTTAGTCCTGCCAGAGAAAGGACTTTCATTACAGTTAAAGTGGAAGGCCAGCCAATCATGAAGAGGTATACCAGTTACAGCAGAATGGGAGTAATTTTCAAAGAACAAAAAAAAACCCCACCCAAACCCAACCACTCCACAAAGAAGTGTTGTACAAAAATACGCGGATGAGAGTTAGTTCTATCTTGTCCATCAGTGCCTTTGAATTAGAAAACTGGCACTCCTATTTGGGTTAGTTTACTTCTCAGAAGATGTTGTAAAGTCTGCCTTCCCTGCCCGCACACCTGGGGCTCCCTTTGGAATGGGCAACCTTTCAATCAACGTGTTGAGAGATCATCTGGAGAGTTGCTCCTGTTCTGACCTAATTATGTATTTTCTGGTATCAGTAACACGGACAGCTTGCTCTCCTGTAACCCAGCTGGACATTTGCTGGGGAAATTCACTATTTGGATTCCACTCCCCCTCCCCACAGAGCTATCATAAGTGAAATCACAGAATAACTTCATGTTGCATCAAAAATTTCTTGTGGGAGAAAAAAAACTTCTAGATTTTCCCTTTAATACTTCTGAAGGAAAGTACCCTGTCTGTTGAGAGAAGGGAGAAAACAGTGACAGAAAACAGAAGAAACATGAACCCGAATTCTTCTGGGGCTTTCGAGGTTTATGCTTTTTGCACTTCGAAAAATTCTTGGCAGAGGAACTACTTGTTAGCAGAATACATCTCTGCCCTTGCTACGTTAACATCAGATGCCTCTTTGTTAGGTGCATTTTAGCTTTGATATTGCTCTTTGATAACCTCATTTTCAGAGTTTGACAGGTCGTCCATATTTCTCTTTTCAGTGTGGATAGGGACCCATTT